AAAGGGGGGGTAGGAAGTTTTGTAGGGGAAAAAAGCACACATATATAATGAAATAATGCCAAACCCCCAAACTAAAGTATTTACAAGATAGTCCCTTAAGTATAGTTTGTCACATTGCAATTACACCTTGCCTACTGCCAAGTCAAAGTGCTTACTATTGCCACTAGGGGGAGAAATGTCTTAACAAAAAGCAACGGCAGATAGAGAATGGGTTTTCTTGAGCAATTATCAGAACAAAGCTCCCTTGGCTATGTGTACCTTCTAATTACTCAATACAATTAAAATGACTAACCTAAAACAAATAGGAAAAAACCCTGCCTGCCTGATATCAGAGACTTCATTAAACCTTTTCCCCCATCAATCAAATCAAAAAGAAGGGAATGCAATCATATACAAACATTGCAGAGCTATTAAAGGAAGTAAATCAGTGAGTTTGTTTTTAAAGAAAGAAATGAAGTGGCTCTCTTGAAAAAAGAAATGTCATGGTATTTACCCATCTGGATGCTGCCTGAAAACAAATTGTCCTCCAAAGAGCAGAAATACAGTATGCTTTCTCTCAGCTCACTGGCTTATGAATGACTTTTTGTTGTTGCTATTGTTTTGTTAATATACACTATAATGTCATTTTCTGTGTCAGTGATGTACTTTTTTCCTCCCAGTCATCCAACTGTATAAGGGAGCTATGCCAATCACTTTCATGCTTATCCTGGGATGGTTTCACTTTCACTTCTTCACTGCTGTTTTTTTGTTCTTGTTTTTGTTTTGTTTTGGTTTTTGGTGGATCTCCTCCAAGGTAATGTTTAGAAAAACATAGGAATTTGGGGAGGATGGGTACAGTGGGCAAAGAAAACAGCTACTTACTCCTTTTAAAGACTTACGTAGTTCCTTTTATAAGGGCCAGTCATTAACAGAACATGACAACAGAGTCATTTTTCTTTCAGCTGACAATTGTGACGTTTTTTCCAACAGCGTGCAAGGTGTTGAAAACCTGGCAGCTGTTACCTCCTGGGATGAAGATACTTTTTTATCGTCCCCTGACAGTTTAACTCAGTGGGCCAGCACCTTTAAAAGACTGCAAAGTATCCTTGAAGAGGATGGAAGCTTGAATTACTGCTCCCTCCCTAATCAATGTAAACCCTCACTGCAGGTGAAGTCTCCATCTATAGAGGTGCATGAGGGAGGAAAATGTAATGCCCTGAGCCAGATGGTTTTTATCTTGTTTTTAAAGAATAAAGGAACAAGCTAACAAGGGAGACAGCTACTTTGTTAGCTCCTTGGCCTCTCTCATGGCTTTGCATCCCCAGGGTTCCAGCTACACAAGAGAAAGAATACAGAAAAACGTAAACACTTAAAGAAATATAACTAGAGGGCTGGCATCACGCTGCTTTCAAAGCGTTGAGAGAGTTCTACTCAATGCTTTATTTATCACTGCCCACGTTCTCAGGATGGTAAGTGGACACATACACAAAGGGAATGGGGGGTGGGGAAAGGATTAGACAGAGGTCACAATTTACTCAATTACAGAGAAAGGCAGGGCTGACAGATCCTATTAGCGCCAATATGAAGGAAAGAAGGAGTTGCATGTTGTAAGGCTACATTTTCAGAAAGCAATGAGTACTTTCACGTATCCTCCCAGGCCTTTGCCCTTGTTTGCAGATATGAATAAAGGCTGTAAAAACAATTGCTATGGTTTCCCTGACTTCACACTTTAGGAATAAAAGTAGAAAGAAAATTGTAGCCACTTTGTGCATCCTTTAAATAAAAGTTCATACTTAATGCCAAGATGTAAGATTATTCTGAAAGACTAATCTGTAAGATTATTAGAAAATTAAAAGGATACATTGCTCCCCCCACCCCAACTCTCCTGCCTTCTGATGATGGAAAAGCAGGGATACAAAATGAGTGGGTGATGTAGGAAGTAGCGTCTCCTGACTTTCTCCTTCCATATTTTCTTTTTGTGCTAATGTCTTTATCAGGTTTTGAAATTGTGGTTATGGTGGCCTCATAATACAAGTCAGGAACTGTTCTTTTCTTCTCTATTTTCTGAAAGAATTTGTGTAAGATTGGTGTTATTTATTCCTTAAATGTTTGATAGAATCACCAGTGAAGCCATATGGGCCTTTTGATAGTTAATTGAGTTTCTTTCATAGACATGGGGCTATTAAAATTTTGTTTCACCTTGTGCTGTATATTTTTCAAGGAATTTATCCATTTCATCTAAGTTGCCAAATTTTTGGTTTAAAGTGGTTTATAATACCCACTATCCTTTTAATGTCTGTAAGAATTGTAATGATACTCTCCGATAATTAAATAACTGTCCAAGTTAACACACAGTAGTCATATTGTATCAACAATGGTAAAAGCACACTTTAGAATAAAATAAACTATAAAATTAGTTTAAAACATCATTAAACTTGTCAGAATGTAACTAAGCATTTTCAAATCAATGGCAAAAGAGTTCCTGAAATCCCATTATAAATATGTACAAGAGAATCTCAAGTTAAGTATTGGCCTCCAAGTGGCAAATCCCACTTACATCAATCCAGGTTTCTAAAAGGGCAGCCTTGGCTTTTTTTTTTTACCTACAATAACTTTCTAAAGTGGGGGGCGAGGGAAGAAGACAACACAAGCAAATGGCACTTCATTATTGTCATATGCAATAGAGAAAAGAAGGATTTTAAACAGCTTATATATTATGTCCAACATTTAAAAAACCGGCAGTGGGGTAATCAAGTTCAGGGCAGTCCTGGACAGCTGCCCTGTGACCCGCTTCTATTGACCCCTGTTATTCATCACTCTTCCCTACGATTGAGAGGGCGAGCTCCTAGGGAGTGACCACCACAATAGACAGACACAAGCCAACAGTAATCTGGTTCAACCAAAAAACCAGATGGCACTGCAATAAATTTACAAATCTGCATTCATGGGGCTGTTAAAACACCCAGAAGCTAAAAGACTCCGAAGGCCCCAGGAGGATCTCCTACTTCCCTATTTCTAAAGGCCATTTCTCTTTCCAAGAACATTGAGTTCATGCTCTTCACAAAGAGAATGGAGATAAAACCCTTTACAAAGAAAGGGGGTGGGGAGAGCCTCCTGACCTAATTAATCTCCAGAGCTTGGATCTCAACACTGACAGAATCAGAAAAATCATTTTGGAGTACCAGAAGGGAAAAAAGGACAAAAATGGCTAAATTAAAGTGGAGAGGGTGAAGTGAACCTGCTAAAAAGTGATGGGGAAAAAAAAACACATTAAATTTCTTTCAAATACTGCACACAGCAGATCTTGCAAGTAGAAAATGATTCAATAATGTACGCATTTATTTTTAAAATGAATCAGATTAGTCCCATGTGTGACCTGCTGGTCCATCTGTATGTGCTGGACTTAATAGGCACGATTCTCTCTCTTGCTTCAGTTTGAAGTATGAGAGAGATAAATTTAGTTTAATTTTCAACAGATCAGCCTATCCATTTTCCAAATGGACCATCTGGATAAGCCTATTAAAATTAATTTATAACTTTGTAGAGTTAAAATTCGTTTGTTAGCTTAAATAAAGTTGCCAAAACTTTTTGTTGTGTCATTGGTTTCTGACAGTTGTCTCCATCTCCAAATCTCAATATTCAATGTTGTCCTATTTATTTACATTTACAGATCAGTTATTTATTCCCAAATAATGGTGTAACATACAGTAAATAAAAAAATGAGTGTCACAGTTTCAAGTAAACACTATATGTAAACTGGAGTCAGAAGCAGAAGCAACACGCTGGCGACACTGGGATCTGGGTTTCAGAGCCCGGCCTAGCTAAGCAAACCATCTACTCTCTCTAAGCCTCCATTTTCTTCATCAGAGAACTGGACATCGTACCTAGAACTTTACAGGGCTAATGTGAGGACTGAACGGAATACGTATAAGGTTCATGGTGGGTACTCAACAAATATTAGATTCCCTCCTTTTCTAGAATAATGCCATCAATACAATAAGAACTATTCTTTACTGCTGGTGCTTATCTTATCCAATTTTATATTAAAAATAAAAAGCTGGAATAACTGAAAAAAAATACAAAAAGTAAAACATCACTTGTCAAAAAAAATGAAGAGGTGCTATCCCTATTCTCTCAGAGCGCTGTAAGAACTTGTTTTTGGTGACAGTGGGAGAGGGCAGACGTTAGAGGCTGCTGCTACAGGTAGTAAGAGCAAATTTTCTTGACCAAATATTTTTTGAGCATTTTAATTTTTAAAAAGAAAGCACTATGGAATTGAGCTTTTAACTAAAATGTGTTATCTTTGGAGAGTTTGGAGACAGTGGTGAGTTAAAATACTTTAAGTTGTCATCAATAATGGTCTTTACTTCTAATAAAGGCAAAGAAATACAACTCAGAAGGAGCTAACTCACTATAGGCAGATACTTTCTGATTATTATTCTTTTTAATGTATGGAGAATCTTAAAAGAAATATAAGGTTTCAAGTCAACTACTCTAACACCTGTACTTTTAAGAAGCATTTCAAGTTATCTTTCCTAAACAAGAAGCTTATTCTCCGACTTAGTTTTCACTACTCATAGCAATTGACTACCCTTTGCTGGTGTACCTAGGATACTTCTGAAGACTGAGAAAACAATGTTACCTGACTGAAACTGATGGCTATAGCCATATCAATTTCAGAGTACTCATTTTTTAAATATTTTATTTATTTTTAGAGAGAGGGGAAGGGAGTGAGAAAAGGAGGGAGAGAAAAGAGCAATGTGCAGGAGAAACATAGATCAGTTGCCTCTCGCACGGCCCCAACTGGGGGCCTAGCCTGCAACTCAGGCATGTGCCCTGACAGGGAATCGAACCTGCGACCTTTCAGTTTGTGGCACATGCCCAACCCACTGGGCCACACCAGTCAGGGCCAGAGAGAGTATTATTAATTTAAGCTCCAGTGCTTAAAGAATGGCAAATTAAGGGTTTCCTGTCTTTTGTTTTGTTGTTGGTAGCCTTTTAAGTAAGACTGAATTTCATACCTGTCTAAGTGAATTCTTCTCTGGTATTATCTTCCTAGGGGGTTCGCCATTATTACAGTCTTCTCTCTCTGAGGAATTCTGTGAAAGAAAGTAAGCTTTAATTCACTTCTCATTATCTTCCGTCTTATTCTGTGGGAGTAAACTGAATTACATTTCTAATTCAGTGAGCCAGAATACCATGTATATTTATGCATTTATTCATTTGAAGATTTATATACATACACTTATATGAAGGAAAACATATGCCCATGTATATAAACAAATGTATGTAGGGATCCAGGTGGCAAGTGTTTTATCCATATTTAAGTGCTGCCCGGCAAATCACATTCATTAGAAGTCTAGTTTACTGCTTTTTGAAAATGTAGGATCTGACACTGGACATAAGAAAGCTCTAGTCTATAATTAGCTGATAAAAACTTAAACCATCATTTTTACGCTTGATCTTAGCCAAAAGGCTGAGAAGCGATTAAACCATCATTTTAAAATCGTCACCCAAGAATATGTTTTTTGCTTCTAGAGAGAGAGGAAGGGGGAGAGAGAGACACATCAGTTGGCTGACTCTCACCTACACCTCACATGGGGATCAAACCCACAACCTAGGCATGAGCCCTGGCCTGAAATCGAACCTGCAACCTTTTGGTTAGGGGAGGACACTCCAACCAACTGAGCCACAGTGACCACGACTGCTTTTTTTTTAAATCCTCACCAGGGGACATACTTACTGATTTTAGAGAGAAGAGACGGGAGGGAGAGGGACATGGATGTAAGAGTTAAAGACTGATTGGCTGCCCCTCATATGTGTCCTGACTGGGGGACCAAAACTGCAACCTAAGCATGTGCCGGGACAGGAATCGAAATGCAGCCTCTCGGAATGTCCAACCTGGGGCCGGTGGGCCACGTGAGGCCCAGGATGGCTGTGAATGCGGCCCACCACAAAATCATAAATGTACTTAGAACTTTTTTTTTTGCTCATCAGTTTTCATTAGTGTTTGTGTATTTAATGTGTGGTCCAAGACAGCTCTTCTTCTTCAGTGTGGCCCAGAGACACCCAAAGGTTGGACAGGATGATACTCCAACAGAGTTACATGGGCCAGGGCTCAGTTTTAAACTACACAGTAAATGTTTGGTTGGTACAGGTTTTCAAAATCTGGTTCCTAAAAGGTAGTTCTTTCTCTTCCTCCTCTTCTCATATTTGATTTTCTTTTCTTATTAAAAATAGCATAGCACTTAGCTCAAAACAACATTTAAACAGTAGTTTAAGATTAGAGCCCGTTCTTGCCACTATTACCTTAAACAGCAGTTAGAAAACCCTAAAATGTCAATAGGAATTTTTTTTAAGATTTTATTTATTTTTAGAGAGGAAGGGAAGGAGAGAAAGAGAGAAATATCAATGTATGGTTGCCTCTCCTGAGTCCCCCGCTGGGAACTAACCTGCAACCCAGGCATGTGCCCTGACTGGGAATTGAACTGCGATCAATCCACTGAGCTATACCAGCCAAGGCAGGATTTTTAAATACTTAAGAAGCAGGGGAGTCCACTTGAAAGCAAGTTTAGAATTCCAAATATCAACAGAGTAAAAAGTCAACCCACAGAATGACAGAAAATATTTGTACATCATATATCTGATAAAGAATATATTAATACACAATATACAGAGAAATTGTGAAACTCAACAATAAACAAACAACCCAATTAAGAAATGAGTAAAGGCCTTGAACAGACATTTCCTTAAAGAAGAAATATAAGTGGTCAAAAAGTGGATGAAAGATGTTCAACATCTCTGAACATTCTGGAAATGCAAATCAAGACTACAAAGAAATATCACCTCACACGCATTAAGAAGGCTACTATCAAAAAAAGAAAAACAGAGTGGTGAGGATGTTCAAAAATTGGGATTCTTGTGCACTTCTGGTGGGAATACGAGATGGTACTTTTCTTGTAATGTGAGTGCTATGGGAAACAGTGTGGTGGTGCCTCCAAAAATTCAAAGTAGAATTACCACATGACCTGACAATTCCACTTCTGGGTGCATACCCCAAAGAACTGAAAGCAAAGTCTCCAAGAGATGATTGTATATCTGTGTTCATATCAGCATGATTCACAATAACTAAAACATGGAAGTGATCCAACTATCCACTGATGGATGAAGGAATAAGCAAAATGTGGTCTATACGCACAACAGAATAGTATTCAGCCTTAAAAAGGAAAGGGATTCTGACACATACTACAGCACGGATGTAACTTGAGGACATTATGCTGAGTGAAATAAGTCAATCTCAAAGAGATAAACATTGTATGATTAGAATTATATGAGATACTTAGAACAGTCAAAATCAGGGACTAGGAGGAGGGGTGAAGGGGAAGTTATTTAATGAGTAGAGAACTTCAATTTTACAAGACAAAAAGAGTAATGGAGATGAATGGGGGTGAATGAGTGTATTTAACACCACTGAACTGAACACTTAAAAAATAGATGGTATATTGTATGTTATGTGTATTTTAACACTAAAAAATAATTTAAAAACCTGGTAATCAACACATGTAAATCATTTTATGCAAGGTAAAAATAGGAAATCCAAACAAATGCATGCTATTTGGGTTCTATTTTCTACAACTACATGTGTAATATTAATATTTTAAAATTTACAGTGGATATATTTGTTGTATTACACATATTCATCACATACTAAGTGGGGAGTTACTTTATTTTCAGATCAAGAAATTCTTTCCTACATATGAGTTTACCTGAAAATTTTCATACAAGTATGAAATCATTAGTACAGTATAGGATCACAACTGTATCTTAAACTTAGATATTAGGTATACTTCTTGGTTTGTATTAAATATTAGATTTTAAAAGATATTAAGGGATAAATGGCATCCATACATAATGTCACTTAAAGGCTCCTGCACCTCTGTGGCTAACGTCTGTGTGTGCTTCGTGCATTACCTTCGGTTAGCCTGACAGGCCAGCACTGTTCCTTGCACACTGTTGGAACTAAGGTGTTCCTTTTGGACAAAAATCTCTTATGAAGTTTAACTTGGTATTTTACATTGGTGATGATCTCAAAGGTAAAGGTCCCTAAAATTAAGACAAAGAAGAAAAAACATGCTATGGTACAAGCAAGGGACAGAGACTCAATGACTTAGGAGCTCTAACTGCTTTTCTCCCCATGTTTAAAAAAAGGGAATGTAGACTATCTATAAAGAAACATAGTTAACAACCATAAAACATTCCAAATAAGGAAACTAGCAATATATGCCATTAAGAGAATCAAAGGAGGGCAAGGGTCAATTTGTATAAAGGCATACCTACCTAGTCTTATTACAAACTGAAGGCAAGACCCTCCACCAGCAGAAAAGATCACAGTCACTTTCCCATGATACTCACTACTCTGGTGTTCTGGAACCAAGCATGCAATGTGTTTGAGGTGTGCCTGTGCTTGCTCTATTGTGGTGGCTTGGAACTGAACCTGCAGTATCTCCAAGGGATGCCGGTATTTAACTTTCTTGGTTTGTTTTTTTTTTTTTTTTAAGTATAGATCATTGTTTTAAATACTAAAATTAAATGTCTTATGTAATAAAAACTTAAGCCAGTATTCAATTATAACTCTATTCAACTAAGCCAGTATTTGATTATAACTGCACTCAATTAAGCCAGTATTCAATTATAAACTTTGGAAGTAACTATTCCCCAAACCATGATGTTCCACCTTTCTTTAAATAAAATACCTTTTCAGATAATCAAAACCTGTTTAATTCCATGTAAGGTCCTATATTTCAAAATTAAGTATGTTTTGTTAAAATGTCATTATAATAAACTTGAAAGCCTAATTACTTTTTGGTGGAAGTCTGTTATACTAAAGATACTATAAATCCCATTTATTCCTTACAGGTGCTTGGGATAAAACAAAATTGATGGTAAACTCTCTACACTAAGTTACAAAGTGCAAAGTGGTTATATGAACCCTAACAGGATGAACAGTAACTATCTGGCTCATATCCACAATTTTCTTCCTCCTGACCCTCTATTTTATCTGATTTCGATGGGGAACTACTGAGCGGGTATTATGAGAACATCTAAGGTACAAGAAGGTGAAGGGAGCTTAAAGGATAATTACTGTTTGAGAGCAGGACACAGAGCTGTAGAGGAGCCTTTCCTGCCAGGGCAAAAGTGTGTGTGTATATCTGTATATCTATATATCTATATATAGACATACCTCTATATATATGTATAAAACATTACATATATTGTGTTGTTAAAAAGTGTAACTCAAACAGGAAAAAGAGGAAAATAAACATTGTTACAGCTAGTTCTTTTTTGGATGGATTAACCCACTATTTTAACCCTGGACCATCCACCATGAGAAAGCAAATCAAGACAAAAAAATTCAACTCTGCTGTTATGTAAAATGAAGGTAGTGACATTAAACAGTCATGAAGTAAGGAGCAAGGAGCAAGGTGCCCTCCCAATAGTGAAGAGGAGAGTGAGAAAGCCAGCGAGTAAGAGATGAATAGCTCTACAGTCTTGAGGGTGGAGGTATACGTGAAATGGCCACGCAGACCAGAGCAGTCGTCTCTGGTCCCCAAAGCCTGTCACTCTCCAACATCGCCCCAGGAGAACTCAGCAGCATGGTTATTCCTTGTATATTTAACTATGATGCATCCTAACAAGCAATGTTCACAACTGCCCTGGGTCATCAAGCTAAATTATGCCCAATAAGTTCTATTTAAGGGTAACTAATTAATGCAAGGAAGACTCATCACACAAATTAGCATGAGAAAGACAAACACTACAGTTACATAATACCAAAATATTTCTCCATAAGATACTTAATAATTAGAAAAGGAAAAAAGTAATCTCACATTAGAGAAATTTGACAGACACCATCTTAACATTATGTACTTCTTGATATGATACACTAAGGAGAACACATTATTACTCATGAGATAACCTTGCCAGAAACATATAACCTCGATCTGATCATGAGAAAACATCAGGCTAAACAAATTGTGGGACATCTTATAAAGTCTGTACTTAACAAAAATGTCAATGTCATGAAATACAAAGGAAGATT